CAGAGTGGCTTAAAATACCTGTGTGCAGTGTGCAAGGCAGGGTCCGTGGAACCTGCTCCTACATCTTCCTTCTCCAAGGAAAGGTGCTGTTCCTGCTGTGGGTAGAAACACAAGCTTGGTGGAATTCGTTCCTTCCTTCTTCCTGGGATCCTGCTTTTGAGCTTCATCCAGGACCTTGTGTTTGTTCTGATACATGTTTGTCACAAGATATGGAACAGTAAGTCTAAGGTCACAAGATATGGAACAGTAAGTCTAAGGCATAAATTCCTTATTATCATGAAGATTCTGAGCTCTTGAATCTTAAAGACTGTGCAGTAAATGAGAAGGATCTTTCCTCTGGTTTGATAGTGAAGTGTGTGAGCTGACACAGCCCTGTTGCCATGTTGGTGTGCTTTTTCCTGTCTCAGAAATCGAAGCAAGATATTGAAGATGAGGGACATGCGGCGTGTCAGAAGGATGGGATTGGTGGGAACGTCAAGTTGTGCCGTCTGCAGCCATTGCTGGAAGTCCCCATCCGAGAGGCTGAGGCGCAACCCTTCGAGGTGCTCATGCAGTTTCTGTATACGGACAAAATAAAATACCCTCGCAAAGGTAGGACAGCAGGAGGGAGAAAAAAACCCTGGCAACAGCAGAGCAAACATTTATTTTAATACAGAGGAGGGCTGGGTGTTTGCAGATGATCAGTCCTGCTCTAACCACTTAATTATTACCTGAGATTTAAAAAAAAAAATATTTCTGCGAGGGCGCACTAACAGTTTTTTCCTAATTATTTTCATACAACAAGGAAAAGCAGGTTCTTGATCTTTCCAAAAGGTGTAAAAAAAACCCTAAACAACCAACCAAACAGATTTGTATTATTTTGAACATCACAGCAGCCTGCCTGGAAGGAGCACGTATCCTCGGTTAGCTTATTCCCTTTTCCTGGTGGTGTTTTCTTCCATTGCAAACTGAGCCCACACGGAACGGCAGAACAAGCCAGCATTTATCATCTCTTCAAAATGCCAGTCCAAAGAATGCCTCAGGAAAGGAAAAATCCGTTTGATGCATTCACTGAAGATCCCTGAGTTATAAACACTTGCACCCTGGGAGGTAATAGCCAGAGTTCTCTCAGCTCCCACACAGCAAATCTTAACTCACGGCTGTGTTTGATGGGCTGTGGGAGTGAGACTGGATAGCCAGGGGAAACGTGGGGCTGGGAAGCTGCAGGTCATGTAAAGTGAGCTGTGTCTGTCCTAATGCTGGAAGCTTTGCTTCCATTTCAGTCCAGTATCTCTCCTTTCTATAAAAGGTAATTCTCAGGAAAACAGTAATTTCCACGCAGGTGTCCAGAGGCTTTCCCTGTGAGGTGGCCTGTCTCAGAGCAAGCCTGAATAATGGGGGTGAGGGAACCTTTGGTGTCTGCCAGCGTTGCCAGATCCCACTCTGAGCAGTTCCCTGATCCTCAGCGTACTCACTGCAGCGCAGGGTCAGACCAGAGAAGGGATTATCGGACGAGGGGGAATGGACTCAAGCTGCGCCAGGGGAGGTTTAGATTGGACGTAAGGAAGAAGTTCTTCACCGAAAGGGTTATCACGCTCTGGAACAGGCTGCCCAGGGAGGTGGTGGAGTCACCATCCCTGGATGTGTTTAAGAGACGGGTGGATGAGGTGCTGAGAGAGATGGTTTAGTGGCGGACAGATACGGTTGGACTGGATGATCTCTAAGGTCTTTTCCAACCCAGTGATTCTATTCTATGATTATCACACTGCTCTTCCCTTTGTTATAGGCTTCCCAGGCAGCTTGCTACCCTTCTCCCTGGCCAATCAGATGTTCTCCCTGGTGCTTACCTGTCTGCTAGGATCCTCCACTGGTCCTGTCCTGGCCATTTGTACTCCTCGTTGTTCTCTCAGTTCAGAGGGCAGCACCTTGGGGATCCATCCAGAGGCTGAGCTAATAGAATTGGGCACGCTTATCAAATGGGATTTTTCTGATTAGACACAGGGAAGGCACGTGACGTGCAAGAAGGCTTTTCTCTATCAAAAAGTAGTTATGGCAGATGGCTAGAGATCTCTTGTGAGGACAGCAAAGGCTGGGGAGGATTATTCCTTGAGTTGGTGTCCTGTGGCCCTGTTGCAGTGGCCCATGAGGGTCCCCGCTGCCCCTGTGTTACTTTAGCCGCCTTCTAGAGCAGCCTCAGGTCTGTACGCACAAGCACAGAGTGCTTTCGTAAGGGTCTCTGCCAACCAGGGAGCTGAGTGCTAAGACTGCATAAAAACCAAGGGCCTCAGGAGAGCTCTTAGCTGAGCACTTTAGAGAACTGGGCTGCTAGCTTCGCAGCTTGCTTCTGATTTTAGAGACTTTCCTTTCTTGTGAAGGTTTTAAAAAATTGTGATCCAGATTGTAACAAAATATTTTTTAAAAAAATCTTGTGGGGTGGCTCTTTCATGCCTCAATTTTTAGTATCAATTCAGATTTTGTCCAACCAGTGACAGAATTCTTGTCTCCATAAAAGTACTCCACTTGCTGCCCATTCTACCATTCCGAATGCTTGAGTTGATCTAAAAAGAAATACTTTGAGAAGAGTTTTCTCTTTTTGTTCTGAGCTCTCCAGCATTTTTATCTCTTGTAATTTCAGGTCACGTACAGGATGTGTTACTTATTATGGATGTATACAAACTAGCCTTAAACTTCAAGCTCTCTCGACTGGAACAGCTGTGCCTTCAGTATATCGAAGCATCTGTAGATCTGCAGAATGTGCTTATCGTGTGTGAAAATGCTAACAAGCTTCAGCTGGATCAGCTAAAGGTAATCTTGTTTTGCATACAAAGTAACTGATAAATTAAAAAAAAAAAAATCGATGTAATTAATGCTTTGCAAAAGCTATCAGCTTTTGCAAATTCAGTTCTTTCCTGTAATTTAGTTTCTTGAGTTATGTTAGAGTGGATTGACCTGAAGTTGCTCATGAATATTGTGTAGGGTTTTTTTCAATACATTTGATATTTTTGCATATCTGCCCTGCAGGAAGTGAAGGGCAGAGTGACTTGGCTCTGCCTTAGTTCTGTCTCACTGCAGCAAGATGGAAGCAGTGCATTTTCTGGTCCCACTGTTTTGTGCAGAGACTGTAACCAAGTTCTTTCACCTGGTTTGATGAAAAAAACTGAATTCTCAGGCCTTTGCTGTGAAAAAAAACATGTGTCTGTGTAGGGACAAGGGCTTTTAGGCCATTGCTGAAAGTCATGACAGACTCGATACCCCTGGGCTTCAGGCCGTGACTTGCTGTGATGGTCTGGCTCCCACCGACAGTGGCCAGAGCCGATTCTGCTTAAAGCTGCAGAGCAGCTCCTCCACCCAAGTCCCAGAGTGAGTGAGGTCGTGCAATGCCTATTGCACATCAGTTGGCCGGGTAGCTGGCGGGTGCAAGCAGCGTGGGGCTAGACAAACCAGTATGCACCAGCCCTTCCTCAGGCACTCTTCACATACTGGTACGGCAAAGGAAAGGCATCCAGGACAGCAGCAGAGTCGGCATAAAATATGTAAATGCTGGTGGTGTTTGGTGCACAGAGTCGTGATGCCATTAGCTCCCCAGAAACTCAAGCAAATACCTCAGCGTTGGTGAATCTAGTGCCACTAATTTTAGATCAGCCTGCCACCTCCATCTGCCATAGCCACCGGCAGGGTGACAGGGGCTCTTCCACACAGGGTCCTTTGGGTACGATCACCTGGAGCCGGCATCCTGTCTTCTCAAGTGTGTCTTGGTCCTCATGGGTAGGTGCCATCTGCAGAAGGCTGCTCTTCCTGGCATCCCTATTGTTTAAAACATTTTACAGATGGGTCCTGGATAGATCCCCGTGGATCCCAGGTGAAATAACCTGGCAGAAAATAGACAGCAATAATTATTCTTCAGGTGAATTTTGTACTCACCTTATGGTGTGCTGGTATAGGCTAGGGTTTTTGCTTATGCAGGTGTTCCTGCGGGAAAGCCTTGGTTCATACTGGCAAATAAAGTGCCATTTTTGCCCCTTTAACTGTTCAGCATTAGGTCTGGTTCATTTGTCACCTTTCCACCGCGTTGATTTTTCTAGCATGTTTGTTGTACAAGAACCTACAAGACTCTTTCAGACTGTTTGCAACCCCTGCAGAAGAGGTTACAGCAAAATCCACACAAGGAAATCCTGCAAACTATTTGTACACTTAATGAAGAGTATTAAGGTCTCTTCACCCTTCTAATTAACGTTTGGTATCTAGTTGTATAAAGAATAATTGTGGGATAGCAACCAGTCTGAGTTAACTCCAGGAGGTTTTTGGTGGCTCCTGAGATTCCTATTTTAGAAGGCTTCAGAGCAACTGGATGGAAGACAATCTTTTCCTTGTTATTATTTCTTAGTCAGGTTTTTCTAGGTTAATAGAATTGTCCTGAATTTCCTGTTCAAGTAGGAACCTGAACAGTCACTTAGCAAGAAAATCAGTGTTTGGTAGTTTCTGCTGCAGGATCCATGTGGCAGGCGGTAAGAAAAAGGTGGCTGTTCGCACATGTAACTTGGTAACGTTTCTGTGATGCTGTAGGCTGGCTTCATACAGCAAACTGTAATTTTTTTATTCTTTTTATTTTTTAAGGAACATTGCCTGAACTTTGTGGTGAAGGAATCACATTTTAATCAGGTAATAATGATGAAGGAGTTTGAGCATCTTTCTTCATCCCTCATAGTGGAGATTGTACGGAGAAAGCAGCAACCTCCTGTTCGAACACATTCCGATCAGCCTCTTGACATCGGTAACTTTTATGATTTGTAAAGTAATTAGTTGTGCTGTTTTTTCATAGCTAGTGGTTTGTTTAGTCTAGGAAACAGCCTAGGAAGTACATCAGTGCAGACCAGCTGTGCTCCAGTTGGTGTAACTGTGCTTAGGCTGTTTCCCAAACTGAGACAGGGCATGCTGTTTCTTTTTCCAGTAAGCTTCAGTCAGAACATTGTCCCCATCCAAAAACATGGAAGGTCAAGGAAGTCAAATACAAGGAAGTGTTAAATACAGTTGTGTTCATTTTGCAGTAAAATATCCTGATTCTGTTCACAGAGGGAAGAAGCTGGAGGAAGGGTATACACAATGATTCAAAGAAGGGCAGGGGCCATTCAGTTTAAGGGGGCTAGAAGGTAACTAAGCTGAGGGTTGACCTGCTCATAGGTTTTCACCAAAGAAGGAGCAGGAGTAAGGAAGGTCTTGTGAGTAAGCTACTGCTGACAAGGTAGACCTTACTGTGAGAGAGAGAGGGGAAGAGGAAAAAAATCATGGAAAAATTAACCAAGAAGGTGGTAGTGGAAGAAACTAAGAGAAGACTTTGAGAAGATAAATAATCTGTACTAACCGGTCATGCCTTTCGTTTTCGTTCTCTGGTTGTGCTGAAAGGAGGTGATTTGATTTACAATTATGTCACAGAATCCATCAAGGACTGATTTGGGACTAACCTTATTCAAGAGTATCATCCTGACCCCCCAAAAAAAAGGGATGTAATAATGAAATTTACTGAAACCATGAAATTCAGAGGCATTGCCAGTATTGATTTGGGATACTGCACAAAAAGAACTGGGGACTGGAGAAGAAGATGGGGAAGCCAGTCTGGGAAGGTCAAGAGGAAAGTCTTTGGCTGGCATTTGTCCCAGGGAGAATAGGGGTGCACCGTATGGGAATATGGCATAGCCAGCTTCTGTATCCAGAGCTGGAATAGTGCGAGAGACCCAAACATCCAAAAATTGAGAGATGAACTTTGAAAATATGAGCAGATTTGAATCAGACTTGAATGTGTTCTATTTCTCAGTTATTGTATACTTTCAAAGGTTAATTAAAATGTTGTATGAAAGAAGCCTTTATTGAAGATCTGGGAAGGCTTTTCTGTTAAAAGCCAAAATTTTATATTCCTGGTGGTTGGAAAGAGGGAGAAGAAAAAGGTGGGGAAAAGCCAGATTTCGTTACAGAGAACACCTTTCAGTGTGGCCACTGCTGGTGTTTGCTGTCAGCTGTTTGAACGCAGAGCTGCCAGGTTTGTTTCTGGGGTGGGCAGTAGGTAATAGATTGTGGTGGGGAAGGATGAAGCTCATTTTGCTCCAGGATTATGAGGAAGGGCCTGCCTGCCTTCAAGGGTCCCAAAGGAAAGAGGGGCTGGAGCGATTACTCAGGCATGCATTTGATTTATAGCACCAGGTCAGCTGGAACTCTCATGTCTTTAACTATTTCACTGTGTTACCTTTCAGGAACATCTTTAATTCAGGACATGAAGGCTTACCTAGAAGGAGCTGGGACTGAGTTCTGTGATATCATCCTTCTCTTAGACGGCCACCCACGGCCAGCCCACAAAGCAATCCTAGCAGCCCGCTCCAGGTCAGTCGCAGCTTACTAAAAATACTGACTGTGTAAAATCCAATGCTGTGCAGTCTCTGGGTCAGCTTTCTTTTGGTAGAAGACAGGGAAGAACTTTGTATCTGCATAAAGGGTAGGATGCAGCTTTGCTCAATGAGTGTAATAAGCCTTTAAGCAACAGTGATTAAATATCTTTTTCAATTTGATACCCAGCAGGGAAAGATAGGGGGAAACTAAAATTCTAGAGAATCACTCGAGGATGTATAAGAAGCTGCACTGCAAGACACAGAATCTGTAAAATCACAGGAAGGGAGAGTGAGCGTAAAGCATAAGGCTGATCAGTGAAGTGGAAAGCAGCAGATGTCCACTGGGGTCAGAAAGTCTTCTGGTGGTGAACGTCCGTTTTGAATCATGTGAAACTTAGCCCTCTTCTCACTTGCTGATACTTAAGACTGGGGGTGAATAAGCATAACAAAAAATGGTGCATAACAGACTAGATTGTTCCCATACTTCGTTGCAAAGGCAAGTAGTTCACCTTTCTGAAGATGGATACTGTTCTCCTCGTCTCCTGGGTGAGGCGGGTTTTTCATTCACTTTTGTGTTCTGTGACCTGCACCTTCATGTTCTGTAAGACATTATGTTCACAGAAAATTTCTCTTTCAAATACTGTCACCATTTTTTTTCCAGTCCCAGTAATAATATTCAGTATTAGTTGCTGTGGTATTTTACCAGCAGCATTTCACAGGTCTTTAAACAACCCTGCGGGATTGGCAGCCTGTAGATACCAAGGAAATTCATAATGCTTTAAGCTCTCTACTGGGTCTTATGCAAATCAGACAAAATCAAAGCACCATGTGTCCTAATTTTGAAGAAACAGAGACAAATTTCAGGTAGTGCCAATGGAAATTAGAGGGATTATGTTTGGAGTTCTCTCACAGGCAGACATATATGAATCAGTAATTTAGCGGTGGTTTTGCCCAGATTGTCACCAGAATTTGCTTCTTTGGAAGCTGCAGTGCTTAATAGCAGCCTTTGAACAATACTGGGCTAACCCGTCTGTCTGCAGAGTGTGTTACATCAGTTTTATTTCCTTTTCCAGTTACTTTGAAGCCATGTTCCGTTCCTTCATGCCAGAAGATGGACAAGTGAATATTTCTATAGGTGAAATGGTTCCCAGCAAGCAAGCATTTGAATCTATGCTTAGATACATCTATTATGGAGAAGTAAACATGCCTCCTGAAGACTCCCTGTATCCTTAAATCTAAAGTAACTAAGAATCAGTCTAAAGTGCATGTACAGCAGCTCCCCTTCCTTTTGCTCTAGAGTGCCAGGCACAACCTGGGAGGATTATTTTGTCAGGGCTGCATTAACAGGAACCACAATTTTAGCTTCTGTCATTGATTTGTATTTACAGTCAGGGCTCTTACCTTGCTTTATGTTTTTTTCCTTAATGATATTAACAGCTACCTCTTTGCTGCACCTTACTATTACGGCTTCTCCAACAACAGGCTGCAAGCCTACTGCAAGCAGAATCTAGAAATGAATGTCACTGTGGAGAATGTACTCCAGGTAATTGTCCCCAGGCAGCTTGAATTAGAGACACAGGAAGGTAAAAGTTTGGTCTCGTCAGGTGGGTGCCCCAAGCGCCAGGTTCACTGCGGCGCTTCCAGACTGACATCCACCGAGGGCACAAACCCAACACCAGTGGCCGTGGTGGTTAACATGTATGGAGCAGCACAGCCTTCAGCGCGTTGTTTCCTCATCTGCTTTTTGTATCACTAGCACTGAAGTGTCGAGCAGATCCTGCTTGACAGGATGTTCCTCCTGAGCTCCTCAGCCCCCATTGCAGACCAGTGTATCTGAAGGGTTTTTTAAGATGTACCATGTGCTCAGCATTCAGCTCCAAACCCTTTTTCGGTACACATCTGTACCAGGGCAAATCATAGAATCACAGGATGGTTTGGGTTGGAAGGGACCTTAAAGATCATCTAGTTCCAACCCCCCTGCCATGGGCAGGGACACCTTCCACTAGACCAGGTTGCTCAAAGCCTCATCCAGCCTGGCCTTGGACACTCCCAGGGATGGGGCATCCACCGCTTCTCTGGGCAACCTGTCCCAGTGCCTCACCACCCTATCCATGAAGAATTTCTTCCTGATATCTAATCTAAACCTCCCTGATTTCAATTTATACCCATTACCCCTTGTCCTATCACTACAGGCCCTTGTAAAAAGTCCTCTCCCAGCACCCTTGTAGCCCCCTTCAGATACTGGAAAGCTGCAATGAGGTCTCCTCGGAGCCTCCTCTTCTCCAGGCTGAACAAGCCCAATTCTTGCAGCCTTTCAATCAAATGGTGATGTGCAGGTCATGTTAGTCTTGTTTCATCAGTACTGCTGATGGGATCCAGCAATGAAGTTTAAGCTAACAAAACCCAATCTGTAGTAAGAAAGCCTACAAAGCCAGCTACTAGGTAGACAGCCTGAACCCACTGCAACGTGAGCAGAATCAGGTCCAGCGTTAACTGATCTTGGCTCTTGCCCATGCCAGTCTCACTGGGACACTTTGGGGAACCCAGCTCTGAAACAGATCTGCAGTTTCTTACTGGTTATCTCCAGAGGACTCCACCCAAGGCTTATTTTTTAATAGTTCAAAAAAGATTCAGAGTTGTAATGAAAAACAGAGATGTTTCCTGCGCTCAGAAGAATTACTTCCTCTGTACACCTGACCACGCAGAAGGAAAATCACATTGTTGCTTTTGCTCTAGATTTTAGAGGCAGCTGACAAGACCCAGGCCCTGGACATGAAGAGGCACTGCCTGCACATCATCGTTCACCAGTTCACCAAGGTTGGTTGCATCTTTTCTGGGACTTTTGAGAGCTGCTGTCCTCTGTCGCTGTGTTGGTTAAAGACACATTAATATAGGAATCCATTTCATTCTTCCTCGTGTGAGACAGCTGAGAGCTGCCTGCCCATCCCTGGCTCACAGGGATGCTAGGCACACATTTCACACGACAAATAAATGAAAGACTAGAGCAGCCTGGTCTGGAGATGTGAAGACCTTCAAAGCAGAAGTTACCCAGCGTTGCTTTCATTTCCACTTGTCCCAGCTGTTAATTTTGAACCATGCCATCGCTGGGTTCTCGCGTGTAGCGAGGTGGGTTTGTTATGTATGTAAAACTGAAAATGCCTAAAAAGCTTTGGGGGTGGAGCCAGCATCCAGGAATCACACCCCCAGTGCAGTCCCCAGCATGAGCTTACAGCCCCTGGCTGCATTGTAGGTATTTTCTTCTGGCCTCATGAATACTGCAGCGTGGCCCCACTTGAGCAGGGGGTGGAGAATGGTCCTGCCGCGGGTGATGGCTAGCCCGGGGGTTGGGACATCCCCTCAGGTTTGGGGACAGTGTATTATGGTCCCCGAGAGCTGAGATCTCACGGTCTCAGCTTCCCAGTGGAGGCCACAGGAGGACAAACAGGTGGGGGCGATTCTCACCAGAAAGTACTGGGGGAAACGAGCATTGCGACATGTCAGAAAGAGATTTGAACTGAAGGGCATTATTCAGTTGTGCTGGCTAACCAGAATACGTGGAAATGTTTTATATTTAAACTGTTGACTGTGAGAACAGTTGTCATCAAACTGTGGCTGGAAGACTGTCAAGCAGATGTGCACGAAAAATTGTAATTATGCAATGTTTTCCTTTGGCCTGAGAGGCTTCAGTGTGTGATTTTTGGCACGGCACTGGGTGACGGTATGCGTAGGCACGAACACTTGCCGTTCTGCTCCCTGGCAAGCCACAGGCTCTGAAGGGTGATTTGTTCTAGCTGCACAAGCCCGGGGGGTCAGCAAGGCTTGGGCAGGGCGGGTGTATGGCTGCTGTCATCTCCTGTTCTTCCCGCTCGATTACCGCAGTTCTCGGTTCGGGCTGTTGAGGAGTTTCCCCCGCAGTAAGAACATGGATTGAAGAGCTGTTCCCAGAGCTTTACTCGTTTGGGCAACGTGGTTTTAGGCTCTTGTGTGTCAGTGTTGTGCAAAAGCCCTAATAAACTTCTATTCTGAAGTGTTTGTACCGACACCCTGATCTGTTCCTCCGCAGTGCATGCCTCGGTGTGGGGGCAGGGTTCCCACTGGTGTTAAGGGGGTCTCTGTCCCTCGCAGTCCTCATGGGCCCTTATTTTGGATATATTACTTCAAGCACATGTTCTGAGCTCTTTCTGAAAGTGTACTCAGCAGTTTCCTTCCTGGGTTTCAAAAGATGCTTGGGACATCTTTATTCTTTATCACAGTCAAGCTGCTTCGAGTGAGGTGTTGTCTTTTATTAGAGCAGTTGATGCAGGTTGGGTAAGCAGACAGGCTTTTGGGCAGTCTGCCTGCAAGGCTGGGCATGTATGTTACTAACTCGAAAAAAGAGCCATTACTGGCTCATTACCGTGAGGTTGTGGAGAAGGAAGGAACGTGTAAAGCCCCTTTTTGATAACAGCTTCTGAACAGCCTAAGAGCGTGAGGTTTGCTGTGGGTTCTCATGGCTGGCGTGGCGGAGGTTTTGGTTGGCTCGTGCCGCGGTGGCCTGCTTTGGCTGCTGGAGGCGTGCTGGCAGAGCCAGCACGGACCCTACGCACGGCCTCTCGCCTTAGGAGCCGCAGGAGCGAAGAGGCAGGGCCTACGTCACCTTCTCGGTAGAAGCACACAGACTGCAAAGTTCAGGGCTGTGCTGATGCCCAATTTTGCTTTTTGGAGAGTGCTTAGCTGGCATCCATTAGCAATGAGCTGTCAATATAAACAGTAATTACGCTCCTTTCTCGGAGAGGCAGTGCTGGGCTCAGCATTTCTGATGTTCTCCGTTCTCACCCCCGCCACGCAGCAGGCTGGAATTGGGTGATCAGCGCAGGAAGTCGTGACTGGAGCCCCGTGGACCATCCTCTGTGGCCCAGCCTCCACGACTGCGGTTTCACACTGTGCCTGCCCAGCCTTTGATGGGCCTGACCGGCCTGTTTCATGGGGGGGCAGGGGTAAAACGGTGATACATCAGCTATGATTTGGGGAGGGGGTTCATTTCTTTCTGTTTTTTCTGTTCTGTTTTTCTTTTCCTTAAAGGTCTCCAAGTTGCCAAATCTCCGCTCCCTGAGTCAGCTCCTCCTCCTTGACATCATAGAGTCGTTAGCTAACCACATATCAGACAAGCAGTGTGCAGAGCTGGGCTCAGACATCTGACACGCTTTGGTAACCGAACTTTTCATTTGTTCCTCACACAACCGAGCACTTCATGGCTGACTCTCTTCTTGACCGTTCTGTACGGGGCTGCTCAGATGTCTGCACAGCATAGCAGGCGGCCACGAGGAGCACGGACAGCTGGCTTGTTCTTCTGTGGATTTGCTTGGTTTGTACCCCTGGAGAAGGGTTTGCTCTCTGTTACGCAAATGTAAAACTGAAGCCATTACAGGGATTAATTTATTTCACGTGGGTTTGGGAGTAACTAAGTTCAAAATCAAGCCCATTACTACTTTTATAATGTAAAATAAGGCAGTCATGAGTAAGAGAGTCATTAATACGTTGAAACACAATATTTAAAGAATACTATTTAAAGAACTTCAGCTGACACAGCCAGGGGCTGTAAGGGGAAGTCCGAGAAAACAAAACTGGAAAGAGAGCGCGTGGTGTTTGCAGCGAGGCTGACCGTTGGGCCAGAAAAAGTGACTTTTCAGAGACTGCATGGCATGGATTGAAAGATAAGCCCTTTGCAACTCCCTCGATTGCTGGGCTGCTGGAAGCCCAGACCTCTGCTCTGCAGCGGCTCAGACTAGGAGATTACAGCGGTCTCTTCTTACCATCAAATCCATTAATCCTGTCTCGCTAAGCCTTTCTAAATCAATTTATTAATAAAGAGTTAACATCTTCTCCTGGCATTTCATGACTGACTTGGCTTTCATTTTGGAAAAAATCAAGCAAAAAGAGCTCTGAGCTTGATGAAGGTCACTTTGTTAAAAATAGGTGTGCTACATCTTGGTATAATTTAACGCTGAAGTGTCTTTGTTAGTTGTTGCCCTTGCAGGAAGGTGAATGAAGGGAGAGCACCCTGCTCCGTTCAGAAGCAGCTGCTGTTCCCTCCCGGTTGCAGCTCCCCACAGTTCCCACACTGCAGCGGGGAGAGGGGCTTTACCTCTCCTGGCTGCTGGACACTGCAGCTTGGTGGGGGAGCGTTGGGGATCAGCTGGTGTCAGCGAAGCGTCTGCTCCCAGCCCTGCCAGGAGCCACCAAGGCTTGGTGGGGAGCTGGGGCAGCAGGAGTGACACAGAAGCTGGGAACCAAGATCTTGTCCTGCCTTAGCGGCAGCAGTTCCCAGAGGTAAAGCAGGTGGCAGTGCTGCCACGGTGCAGCTATCTGCTTGGCTCTTGAAATGGCAAGAGTTGGCTTGAGCTGGAGCAATGGAAGATCCCTCCTGGGAAGCCCAGCCCCTGTGTTTTCACCCCTGCAGCTATAATTTTAAGTCAGGCCAGTGCAGTGCTCCCGGTGCGGCGCGAGATGCGCGCTCCTGTCCGGCATCCTGCAGCGTCACGTCCACGTGCTGTGCGCTTCCGTGGGCCGAGGGCGTTGCAGTCTGTGCAACGCAGAATGCATCGTGTCGTTTGAGCCAAGGGAAGGGCTTTAGGGACCACTGATCTCTCTCAGCTGATGGCTTGCTCAGGTGAGTCAGACCAGAGGTGGCAGATGCATCTGAGAGCCAAGGGCTCATCTTCAGCTGGAGGGATTATTTCCGGGTGCCTCGCAGGTAATGAAGTCTCTTGTCAGAGGTCATGGTAGTTATGACAAGCTGCATCTTCCCTGGGAATCCAAAAGATCTGCACGTGTAGAAAGGTTATTATGCTACGACTTGTGAGAGCACTACCAGTGATTTTCAGCAGCGCTGGGTCAACTAGAGGACACCCGTATCCCAGCCGTGCACAGCCAGGGTCCCTCAGTAAGGCGGAACGGGCCGATTTCAGCCATGCCATAACCAGCCTCTTCAACGCCGTCTTCTCAAACTCTTTGGGGTTTGGAGTTGATTCCTGAGCCCATCAGCAGGGAAATGCGCAGTCTACACCCTCTGTGTACATCTACATCTGTGCTTTGGGGGTGGTTGGCTTAGCCCTGGCTCTGGTGACTAGCCAGGAGGCAGGGGAAGCACCAGGGCTGTCCCGGTGGGAACAGGCTAGCCTTCCCGTAGGATCAGGCAGATGCACAGCCCAAGAGGGATGGCCCTGCCAGCCCCACGGG